ATTTCAGACGAAGGCAGCCGGGAAGCCTTTCCTCTTCTTAAGTCTCTTTCAATCGAAGGATGCCCCAAGCTTACAAAGGCCCTACCTAGTCACCACCTTCCATGTTTAGAAGAACTTGATATTGTAGGATGTAAGCAGCTCGCGACTCCACTTCCTAGGTTTCCTATGTTGAGCCTTCTCAGACTCGATAATTGTGGATTCCAATCCCTAGAGACCCTACCCGAGGTTGATCAAATTGGTTGTTCCCTGGGAATTACAATCCTCGGCTGTGCTTCTCTCAAATGCGTCGCACTGGACTTGCTGCCCAAGTTAGCGTCTCTTCGTATCTCTGACTGTCCAGATCTTGAATCACTATGTGCACATGAAAGACCTCTCAATGATCTCACCTCTCTCCTTTCTCTGGAAATCCAGAGGTGCCCCAAATTAGTTTCATTTCCCAAAGGAGGGTTACCTGCTCCAGTCTTGACAGGACTTACGTTGGAACAATGCAGCAACCTGAAGCAGTTGCCTGAGAGTATGCACTCCCTCCTGCCATCCCTTTACTCTTTGCGAATCACTCGTTGTTCTGAAGTTGAGTTGTGTCCAGAAGGGGGTTTTCCCTCCACATTACAATTACTTGTGATTCTTGATTGCAACAAACTCATTGCAGGCCGCATGCAATGGGGCCTGCAAACGCTCCCTTCTCTTTCACACTTAACAATTGGTGGCCACGAAAATATTGAATCCTTCCCTGAAGAGATGCTTCTGCCCTCAAGTCTTACATCTCTTGCCATCAGCTCCCTAAAACACCTGAAATCTCTTGACTACAAGGGGCTTCAACATCTCACCTCTCTTAGAGGATTGGATATAGGTAACTGCCCTTTGATTGAGTCGTTGCCCTCCTCCCTTTCTACTCTTACAATTCGCAGGTGTCGTTTGCTTGGTGAAAGTTGTGAAAGGGAGAAAGGTAAAGATTGGCCCAAGATTTCTCACATTCCTCACATAGAACTTCCTGAAAGGTTGTTTTCTTTCAATCGTCCAACATATTGAGATATTGCTACTAAATAGTTTATTTTCTTTTCAGTAGTCAAAGGCAATTTCAGCTAAAATTTGGATGAATGAAATACAGATATTTTCTTCCATAATTATTGTCTCTCATTCATCTCCATAAATAATAATCATCATTCTATTTCAATATCCTTTTTGCTATAATTAATGCTACTATTGTTCCTCTATCAAATGCGGCAAATAAACATCACATGCTTCAGATTTTGAACTGCCAGCGCCACCCTTAGAAAACAAGTGTCAATCTTAAAAGACAAGGGGCCTAGCAGAGCTGAAAAGGATTAAAAAATATAAAGTGGCTAATGTCACTGAAGAGAAAAGGATTAAAGCATAGAAGGTCATCATCTTGAGAACTCACAGCAAAGAGGTCATCTTTTTTGCTATATTAACAACATCAATGCTTTCAGCACGAACAAATGCGACGTCTTGATGGTTACGCTGCTAACATTTACAAATCCCCATCAATACTGGTGTTCATTCCTCATCATGCTCCAGTGAGCTCCCAATAAAAGAAAACCTCGGCATTACTAGTAAATCGTCACTGCAGGGGAGAGTGACCTGTCGCCATTTTCCATTCCAGAGAAGTACTCAGGAAGGAAGTCTTAATAAGCTCAAGTGTAAGGTAAATTTTACCCTTCCCAGCTCTAATTAGGTTTCACTGTCCCTCCAATCTAATTTAAGATCTAATATGAGGAAACCACACTGTATTAGTGAAAGGATAACAATATCAAGATTTTCCAAATTCAATTCACTGATATAACTTTTCTTTAATCCTGGACAGAAGAACTTAGAACATCAAAAGATCATAGCAGGATTCTAAAAAACAAAGATTGTATTTGGTGCTTATTGAGTCTAAAAGTTATCCTGGATGAAAAGGGTTAAAATCAGTAACATGTCTGGTTCAGTATCAACATTTTGAAAATATCAAAAGGAAGAAAAAAAAAGGTACCTTGTTTGCTAATTCATTTGGAAAAGCACCATTTTCCTCTGTCAGTTGAGAGTTAGCCGCCGTGTTCTTTCCCAAAACAGCCAAATCTGTCTGCAAAAGCACCAAGAATAAAATAAAATGCTAAGCTTCTCTCAGCTCCTGCACCTGAGCATGGGGCGTTAATAAGTGAACTCATTACTGAAAATTGAGTCGCCATACCTGCTCCTTCAGCATAGGCTTGTTTTTACCTTCATCATATTCTACATGATCAAGGCCTGCCTGAGTATTCTGCAGACCATGAGATGCAGGGTCGTTCATTTTTCCATAGCCAAGGGCAAACAGCTGGTCCTCTTCTCTTGAAGCCACAGATATCGGAAAGGGCTTGACCGGGCTGTTAGTTGTATATTTTGAAGAAGACCATAGCTCATCAGCATTACCAAGATTTACATTGCCAAATATTGGGTCATCATTGCTGCAAAATCACCACTTGTGAGGATATTGAGTCAGATGGTTATTACTGTTCTCCAACAAAATCAAGATAAAGTATAAGAACATTAGTGAAGAACAGAAATGCAGGAAAGCCCTTCCACAATTGAACAAGCTCACCAATTCCTTACAAATCCCGTGCTGCTATATTACATTCTTTCTGCCATTTATACTTGTATTTGAGGATATTGTGCTGCTAAAAACTGGCATTCTTCAGGTTCTTTTCCCAATTAACAAAATTAAGCCATGGATCAAAAACCATAAATTTTCAAACAACTAGTCATTTTTTTTTAGTGTTGCTTTCAGCAGACAGCACTTATTTGGAAAAGGATATGGATCCAAAACAGAAGAAACTACAATTATTAAAAGAGTCTGGTTGTTTTTCCTTAACAACAACACTCTTGTACCACACGATTTTTTTCTTCTGAAATGAAAACAGACAGCGAGCATAATTATTTTGTTCGCTAAACTTTCACTTCACATTCAGTAATAAGAATGTGTTCAAATTATCAGAATAATGAGATATACAAGCTTCCATATCAGGGTGCTGCTGACCATCTTTCATTTAGGTGCAGAAAGTAAGAAATGGTAACTGTGCTTTACCTAAAAATTCGATCAAGATCATCAAAGCTTCCAATGCTAGCCCAGCCATTATCATGAAAATCACCTTGCTCTTTACCTTCATGAGGATTTTGAAAAATCTCAGTGTCCTTATCAAGATGATCTGCCTCAGCGTTTTTTTTTAAAAAAAAAGAATTAGAATGACAGTAGCATGTAAGATACTATGCTATGAAAACATCATGCAACTC